ACGAAAGTTTACCTAAATATTAAAGTGATATTTACAATTTATCCCACAAGCCCGTTGTTTCGTAAGCAAAAATAATAAAAATTACAATTTCGATCCGAATTTGTAAAAATAAAATCCGAGGAGANATAATAAAAATCGATTTAAATGATCCCCATTTTCTCATACTACATACTAAGGGAATTTGCAGGAAAAAATAGAGAAAGTAACTGAGTTATTTGAATTTTAATTACGTATAGAATATTTCCACAAAATGCCTAAATCATTTCATTTTTAGGGTTTCGTGCCTCAAAAGCAAAAAAGGAACGCTTATATGATCACTTCGTTGTTTGTTTGTTCGTCTGTCTGTTAAGGTCTTAATATCAAATACTCAGTGTGAAGAATAAAAAATCAAACTTCTTAATTAACGTAATCAAAAGATACGGCTGTTTATGCATCATATTCTGACAATCGCAAGGATATCAAAACCTATAGGATACTTCCTGTTGATCTACAATTATGAAAATTAGCAAGAAGTAATCTTAAGTACCTATAAGCCAAGCAAAGGGAAAAATCTCCCCAAATTTGTACAAAAATATTGTAATTATAAGTTCTGGGGACTAAGTTTTGGGGAGGAACTTAAAACACTAAAAAAAAAAACGGAAAAATCTTCGAGTTTCGATATCAGTGATGGACGAACAACGCACACACATAGGTATTACCTATAAGAAGTACAGAGCACATTGACCATCTCTTTTTGTTATGTTTGTTTTTCGGCTTCAGTGTGAAACGTAATTAATAAAAAATCGAGCAATGAATCATTAAAATAATTGGTCAACAAGACGGCATTTTTTGCCGTAATTAAAAGTATATAGGTGAAATACCGGTCGTTTGTACAATGAGCAACATAAATAAAGTGTAGTTCTTGTTTCATTTAATAATTTTATTTTATGAATAGTACTTTCTTAACCTACCTATTCATGTATAAATACGTAAAATCCTAAAATTGTGAAATATCCTATATTCAAGAAAAGTGTAAATCCGGCACTGTTATTTACTATTTTCTGTACCAAATTAATTTAATTGTGCAACTCAAGAACCTAATATACCTACTTATCAATTCCTCTAACAAAATGCTAATTTTGATCTCACAAGTCACAAATGCAATGTACATTTCTATGCACATGCATTTCGAGATGATGATAGTGTTTGGGCTTTCGCCGCGTTATTGACGACCAGACCGTTGTCCAGTATATTCTGAGATTTTTTAGTGAAACACTGAATTTGTTTAACTCTATATTAACTGAAATTTTTCACTTTAAACATACTATCGGTACAGACTAAAGATATGAACATGTGTCGAATACAGGTGTCGACTTAGACATTTGACTGTTGGATCATGAATGATCGCATTCATTGGCATATGTGCACAATATAAGAGCAGGCCGACTGGTTTCCGCTTATCAAATCATACACTAAACAATATAAAATGATTCGGCGAATAATGGCTCATGATTAACAGATAGCTTAGAAATACGATAAAAAGTAGGTACTTACTTAAAAGCTTCAGTCTTTCCTTTACATTGTATTAACCCCTGGTAAAACAGAAGCACGCTCTTCAATCACACACAGGATAAGTACACATATACAACAATGTTTTCCTTTTATCTAAAAACGCATACACTGAATGATTAAATTAATTGTAGCAACACAATAGGTATTATTTACGCGCTAATATAATAATATAAATAAGACAACTGTAATAGGTATACCGTTTTCTGAAAGTAACTAAGCAATAAGTACAACTGATTGTGAAACGGTCGTCAAACATAGTGTCCGTTTGAAGGTAACATAAAAACTACTGATAAGTTTTTGCTTCGTTATAGGAGTTATTACATTGACGTCAACAACGGCAGAATTAAAACATTTTAAAAATCAATAACTCATAGAAATTACATACAAACACATGGATTTTGTTTTAAGTATCATCATCATTAGGCCATCAGTCCTAAGACTGGTTGGACACGTACCTCCACTCTTTCTTATCATGAGCTAATCTTCGCATTTCCCTAAAACTAGAACATCCCAAATCCTTAACTATTTTTGAACAGTTTTTTAATCTAGGTCTACCTCTACCCCTCCTAACTCCTGTTTCTGCCTCTAACATGTCTCTGACTAGACCTTCATGCCTGAGAAAGGCGTCCTACTAATCTATCTCGCCTATTTTTTTTTAAATTTAATGTGAGTGAAATAAACAGATTGATAAAGCAGAACACATTCATCACTTAAAACTTGTAGATAGTATTAACGATCCTAAAAACTTCAGAAAAACTTTGGACAATTAGGACCTGATCTTCGTTATTTATCGTTAGTTCATATATGCGTTACAGATTGTTTAAGGTGACGTTATTTTCTGAAAAGTTTATTTATCAAGTAATATTCAATTTATTTAAATAGTGGAAAAAATAATACTTGAAAATTTATTTATTTCATTTGAAATTTAAAATATTATTGTTAATGGATATTAGTATCACTTCATAAAGGATTATATGGGATGATAACAGTCGCATATTTACGTATAGGCTGATGAAGATACAGTCCAGGAAGGCAGAATTGTACTGATGGTAAATAGGGATTTCTTTGCTTTAATGCAAAAAAATAACAGTATGTTTGAGCTTTGAACGCCACTCTTATCATTTTTTGGAGGAAAGAATATGTTTCTTTTGGAATCGTAACGAAAATAACAAGGTTTTCGCTACTGTTATTATCTATAAAACTTTCAATATTCGGGTCATAGTTCAGAGTTGGCGTACGGGTGCAGTTTTGTACCTTCCAAGATTGATGCCAATCAGGGAACGTGGCAAAGGCGTTAAATCCTTTGCTGTAGGCCATCAATGATAATCATAATAATAAAAATCGATTTAAATGATCCCCATTTTCTCATACTACATACTAAGGGAATTTGCAGGAAAAAATAGAGAAAGTAACTGAGTTATTTGAATTTTAATTACGTATAGAATATTTCCACAAAATGCCTAAATCATTTCATTTTTAGGGTTTCGTGCCTCAAAAGCAAAAAAGGAACGCTTATATGATCACTTCGTTGTTTGTTTGTTCGTCTGTCTGTTAAGGTCTTAATATCAAATACTCAGTGTGAAGAATAAAAAATCAAACTTCTTAATTAACGTAATCAAAAGATACGGCTGTTTATGCATCATATTCTGACAATCGCAAGGATATCAAAACCTATAGGATACTTCCTGTTGATCTACAATTATGAAAATTAGCAAGAAGTAATCTTAAGTACCTATAAGCCAAGCAAAGGGAAAAATCTCCCCAAATTTGTACAAAAATATTGTAATTATAAGTTCTGGGGACTAAGTTTTGGGGAGGAACTTAAAACACTAAAAAAAAAAACGGAAAAATCTTCGAGTTTCGATATCAGTGATGGACGAACAACGCACACACATAGGTATTACCTATAAGAAGTACAGAGCACATTGACCATCTCTTTTTGTTATGTTTGTTTTTCGGCTTCAGTGTGAAACGTAATTAATAAAAAATCGAGCAATGAATCATTAAAATAATTGGTCAACAAGACGGCATTTTTTGCCGTAATTAAAAGTATATAGGTGAAATACCGGTCGTTTGTGAAAGATATGAAGATTCTAGTAAAACAAGGCCGATTTAATTTTTTGAAAATTTTATCTTTTACCCGATCAAAAAAAATTAAAGCGAAATATTTCTCCAATACAGTAGAACCTCGATAAGATAGAGACCAAAGGAAACGTAAAATAATTTGAGTTACTAAGGGTTTAAGTTTAAGCTATAAAATTATGGATTTCCAATGACTTAGCAAACTCTTCATCTTTTTCTTTTAGTATACGTCCACTAACACTAATGTTTTTATTTCTACACTGTCTAAACCATGTAAACAACAAGCATTTTTCTAAATTAGAAAATTCAGCAATTCTTCGTCTTTTACATAGAAGACTTTCTCCCGATTCAAACCATTTTTCACTGCTTACTGAGGTGCGATGCCCAAATTATTCGTTTAAGTTATAGAGGGTTTTTATTTTAAGTAATAGAGGTTTTGGACTATGAGGGGAAGGGAACACAAAATTTTATGAATTTATAGAGGTTATTACGTTATCGAGGTTTAAGTTATCAAGGTTCTACTGTATTAAAAACCAAAAGTTTCTACTTAAGTTTCACATCTTTGAACAGTTTACTCATAAAAGTGGTCTTTTCAATTAAACCCTTTAATTGTGATTAATACAGTTTACGATTTTGGTGTGGAAGTACTTTGTAGGCTGATACGATAATTATATTATTACTGTTTGCATAATTTTCCGCCGTTTGCTTTTGTTCACCGAATTCAACGAGCGTCGTCGTCGTCTTGCGTCGAGACGCACCGTGTTTTAAAATTAGCCAAGATTTTACCAGAAGCGGTTCATAATGCGTAGAGAAACCAATATCTGATTTCGTCGGCTAATTTGTAGTAAAGTGGTTTATTAACGTAGTTCAAAATGCCCTCTTGCGCCTCCGCAGTTCCAAGTAAGTGCCCTAATCTCTATATTTCGGCTTATTCAGCTTATTAATTCAACAGCCATTTTCGATAACCAAAATGAGCTGAACAGTTTCATGTCGAAACTGGATCGAAAAAACTGTGTGCTGCCAAAATTTTAAGCGTTCATGATATTAATTTATTTTGCAAGGACTCTAGCGTTTACTTTTCAATTTTCTTTTTTGTTTTTTTTGTTCTGTGCATGTGTGAAAATTAGTGATTTGCTGATTTTGGAATCCGCACAATTGGTTCTTTTCAGTGTTTGGATTCTTTGTGGTGTGTCTTTAAGGTGAATGACCGCCTTGTAAATGTACTCTCGATTCTTTGAAAAGCATACGACACGTAATTATTTTTGATTTTGTTTACGACGTCGATAGAGCGCAGGTAAGGATTTATCACACAAATATGCGCAACAATGCGAACTTTTTAAACGTTAGCAATTGTTTCTCGTTTTGTTTTTCTTGCTTCCGTTTTCACTTTTTCCGAGCATATCATATGATAAAAACATTTCGAAATGTTTACAAATTCGAAGGACTTGTCAAACGTGTGTCCAAAAAACACTGTGACTTTGTGGTTAAATTAAATTAAAACGCTTTGCGGTTTACCTACCTACTTAATCCTTAAGAACTAGTTTTATTTAAAAAATTGTCTTATATTTGATTGGTAATAAATCGAATCAACTTAAAATATATCCGTAAGTACTAAATCGAATAAAAAATAGTCATAATAACAAATAATAAAAACAACCCAGGAATTTTGTTGATTAAGATTATAGCATAGTACGTATCTATTAATTATTTTGCGTATGTTCTATTTTGTTGCATTTTCATATTAAGTTTAGCTATTGAAATCAATTTGTTTTTATTTTTAGCAATGGATACAGTCTATCCAGAGCCAATGTCAAGATTACATAGACGTGTTGTTCCAAAAAGGAGGAAAGGTGGTTCATCAAGGTATCGCACGCAACCTGTGACGTTTTCCGAAATTCAGGTATTTTCATTCGAAGCACTAAATCACTATCATAAAGTTATATTTTAAAACCTACTAGTCAAGTCAATTTAGAACGTTCTTTCAAGTTTTTCGTATATCGTTTTGTACACACTGCTATATTACACCATCGCACAATTTAAAAGCTACAGTATTTTTTGTAAATTACTCAAATGATTTTGAATTGTATTAATTCATAACCGAAATTTCGTTTTTAGATGAAACATTTTATTAACTTTAATTAGTTGATACTTGTGCGTCTTACCGTAAACAAAAACATTAAAAAAATTTTGTAGGAATATAAAAGATGACATAAATAGCAGCAAATATGAATCTAAAAAACGTTTACTAACACAGGAGTACAAGCTGTTAAAAATACAATAAGTACTGAATTAATAATGAATACATATACGTATACAAAAGAATATGGAAAACAACTAATTTACCGTATTTTTTTATCTATGAATATCTATTTGTTGCCACGTGGTTGCTGGGCTTTTATTTAAGTTGTTATTTTGTATATACACTTTTCTAACTTTTCACAAAAGGATTTTCTGGGGCTACGCAATGTACCTGTACTCTGTAGGTTAAGTACTAATATTAATATTTGATTAAACTATAAAGAATTTAATTAAATGTCAATAAATAATAAGATAATTTACTGTTTTGAAAATTGATCGAAATATTGTTTAGGTTTATAAAACAATGGATAAATTAATATGCTGAAGTCGGTGTTATTTTTTCTGCTTTTAAATAAAATTGTGCGGATTGAATTAAACGCCGGTAAATAATTTGCCATCACATGTTGTGTTTTTGTAAATGATGATTTTTATTTCCCCAAATCGCAATGGATATGCCAAATTTTTTATTAATATAAATATGTCTGTCGTTATTATTTAATCGTAATATTTACAAGCAAGTACCGCTTCAAAAATATGGTCTAGCCAGGCATTAAAATAGGAACACTGATTATACAACGTAGGGTATGCCCAACAAGACTAATCAATACATTACGATAATAACTGATAAATTAAATAAACGAAATTGATGTCTCTACATGTCTTTGATAAAAAAGATATCCGACAAACATATTATGTATGGCATTTCATTCTCATTTCTATTTGAATTTTAATAACTTTATTACCGAAATGTATACAACAAAGAACATCTCCCTTTCAAAAACATCTGCGCCATCGCGTGGTAATTTGTACTTGCAATTACATTTATTTAATTCATTTTTATTTTACAGTTAATGTATTTCGATGTAACACATTTTGTTTTTATTCATCGAAAGCAAAAGGAAGTGAAAGTGTAACCAATTTTGTCTGGCGTTAATTCAAAACTCCTAAAACTACTAAAAGTTCGTTTTATTGCGGCACGAGCTCAAAAAAAAGCTCAAAAACCAATAGGTAGCGTATTGGACAACGGTCGCGAAATTCTTATACAATTTATCACGAAAAAATGGTACTTACATTTGACACTCATTTATTTATTTAGTTCAAACAACAATTGATACCCATATAAAATACGATAAAAATACTAATAAATTTTCTACCTCAGAATTCTCAAATACCTTGCACAAATATTAGTTCATTTAAACCATTTTTTTTTGTTTTGTTTAATTTAAAGAATAGGTTTAGATTCTAGCACGGGCCTAGGCCTTTTTTCATATCATTAAGGACTGATAGATTGAGGAGGTACTGTTGAACCTAATATTAATTTTATTCAGCTAAGATTTGCAGATAAAAATTTTACCCCCCTTGGATACTTCTGTACTTATTTATTTTAAAATTTTCAAGGCCGTGTCCTTCTCCGGGGGAGCGGGGTAAATCAACATATATTTTTTTTGTTGAATATGTTTGTAAAGATTGAATTGCTTATGGTGCAATGGTATTAATATATTTTAAAGTTCTAAATTGTAAATTATGTATAAAACATTTCCAGTTTTCGCTGCATTTGTTTTATATTAATACAATCGCGTATTTAGCCGATGCTCTGGTATAACTCTAGATATCTTTATACTACTCGATATCTGATAGATGAATAAAATAAACAAAGGTAAAATTGGAAAGCGTGTTATTTCTATAAATCCTGGATAGGATAAAATGAAACGGATCTGAATGGGTTTTGAGAAAGGGGAGGATAACGAAATTAGTGATATGAGTTCTACTGATATGGCGTTCACGAAATATGTACATATGTCCCCATAGTATTATGTGATGTGCAACGTTCATGTTTACATTATAAAAATGTTCTTACTGAAAAACAACAGACACCTACTATGGCCAATTTAAAACAACTTTTGGTTTAAACTTCAATAATTCTATTGTTTAATAAATTAATTTTAGTGTTTAGATTCTACGTTTTACCTTACCTGATTATCTATATCTTATACACTTAAATAGTGTATTTATAATTTATTTGTTTTGCAACCGCGTAATTGTTAATTTTTTAAGAATATTACTGTATGAGTAAATTAAAAAAAAAAGTATCTTGTCCTTTTTGTCGCTTATAAATCCGGTCACTACTCCTACGATTGAAAAATTATACGTATATTCAGCGGTGCATTAATTTACTTTCTAAATGTCTGTGTAGGTACTAAAAGTATTTAGTAAAACAGATATTACAAAGCGTACAGAGCTAAAGTTCTTAATAAAGACGATGTGTCTATTCATCGTTACCATACCTGTGACTAAGAAGCTATTCAGGGGGGTGTACCGGTGACTAAGGAGCTATTCACCGGTACCCTGCTAGAAAACATTGTGTATTGGTGCTGCAAGTCGCATTCATTTTGAATTAGAAGATTAAATTAATGTTCCATTTATTTTAAATAATTAAATTTAACAACAATTAAATTAAACTTTTAATTTAGTTTAAGTAAATAGATTAAATTACCGCATATTCCGGCATATAAACACCCTCTCATTTTCAGTTGGAGAAATGGAATTTTTGAATTTTTCTTGAGTATTCTTTTTCCTTTAAGGCCCGATACTGTGAATAACTACAGTGGAAATTTCAAGATCGAAAATCGTTTAAGTGCGCCTTACCTTAAACGATTTTCAAAGCCTGAGTACACTAAGTTCCGATAGTTTAATTGTAACTTCCTACCTAATAATACGGAAAGTTCGTACTCGCGTTGTTGCGAATTAATCTTTCTTTAGCATCAATAGAAGAATATACTATGTTGTGTTGTTAAGCACATTGCAACATTCGAAAACAATTTATCGAGAGCAGCGAAAACTGCATCATTACAATAAAAATAAATAAATTAATCAATAAAATTGATTTTTTACCTGGACTAAATTTTAAAAAACGTCACTGCTTACGGCTTTACCTTAGCTTTGAAATATGTTATTCTTCGGATCATTTTAAACAGATAGTTTATGAATATATAGACGGATGTAAGCTAATACATCTAATTTTTCGTTTAACTTTAAGAGATCAAATTTGTTTAATTTAAAACACTATAAAAAGAATAACAGAATTGCAAGTTATTGAGTGCACAAAGATGTACTAGCAGTTTCATAAACTATATACGAAAATGATTTATTGACAAAGCACTAATCAATAATGTTTCTTACAACGTTTGGGTATTGGTGAGCAGCTTCTTAGAAACCGTCAAGGTACCGGTGAATTGCTTCTTAGTTACCGGTAGTCTAATCCTAATAAATATTGTTTAAAATGACTTACCTTTTTAAGTAGAAACGGCCGATGACACTTTGCCAGAAGTTCAGAAATTTCCCTTTTATCCCTTATATAAACTTCGTTTTCTCTTTTCGAAATATTTAGAAGTACCTAAGCAGAACAGAACGCTACTTTCAATTTCATCTAGGCGTTCGTAAAAGTAGTGCTGTATTCATAAGTAACGAACTGATAAGCGTTTAAAGGTTTAAACAAAACGTAACGGAGTAAATAGTCAAAGAAAATATTCAAAATCCAGTGCCGGCCTTAGGTATTACACGTTGCGCCTTGAAGCAGATTTTAAACACTCTCTAAAAAGTCATCGTAATGACCGAAAATGGTCTTGGTCTAGCTATTATTATATTTACATTGTTGTCTTTATAACCGATATTGTTATTACCAAGTTTCGCTTAGTCTGCTAAACGCTATAGCCAGTAGGCACTTTTGAAACTAGCACTGCTTTTAAAACCGCCTAGGCGGAAATGAATATAGGTACTTACCAAATTATTCGTAGCGTCTACAGCACACATATATATTATTGCTTCGTGTATAATACATATGTATGTAGTATCATTTTGCAGGAAGTAGACGAGGAAAACGTGTCAGAAGACGCAACAGCTCCGGCCCCTTCTTCGTCAAAATCAGAGCTCAACCTTCTCAACAGTAAATTCGAAGAGTTCAAAAAGGCCAGGGATATTATCTTGATGGGTAAAACAGACGGCGACTCAAATGATGGAAAAAAGAATCCACTGCCTCTCACAACGTCTCGATCGACAAGCAAACTACCCTCAAGGCCGTCATTTTAGGGATTAAGGCCGTTTTTTTTTACTTATTAGCGTTTAGAATAGTTACCTTAATCTATTTATGTGATCTATTGAATAGTATTCTAGAAAAGAATTGGAGATTGTTAAAGATTTTGAAAGTATCTATTTATTTACGACGTACTTGCCTATATACATACATTATTATGCGGTAGGTATGTATTTTTACAGCGTTGCCTGAATGAATTGCCTTTTTAAAATTGATTGGTTGAGGCTAATCCTAAATGAAAATAATATATTTTAGACAATTTTACAAACTACCTAGTCAAATGAAATAATTTTGTATTTGTACCTATCATTATTTATGGTAGCGTAAGTCTATTTCTCCACCTTTCTTTCTTTAGCAACAAATCTTTGTTAATATACCTATTTATTACTTTTATACATACATATAATATGGAATTAAAAAGAAGATCTACTATTTAATATATATGATCCTCTCTACGCAATAATTCGTCACATTTTAGAAGCAAAAGCAATTTTTATACCTGTAATATTATCTATATATGTAAAAGAATCTGTAAATACTACTAATGAAATTATAAAGTAGTCAATCATTAAATGTTTAAGATTCATAGAAACGTAAACCTGATAAGCTGAACAAAAATTATAAAATAATATACTTACCTAGTATGGGCAAGGTTAAACTAAACTGACTTGAAGACGTTATTCTTTGGACAGAAACTTTACAACCTTTCAAAACTAGTGGACAAGTGAATATAGTGAATAAACAGTAGCATTTCTTATTGTCGCGTGCTTTCAACCAGGGCACTGCAATATATATTAGGATATTTTGGAAGTGATATATTTTATTTAAAATTTCAGGAGAAAATTGATTTAAAACATTATGTGGTATTTATAAAAAGGAGCTTCGAAAAATTGAAGCAATTCCTTCAAGGTATATGCATAAAAAAAAGCGAAGGAAAAGTTTTGCTTCGAGGGTTTGCTTTAAAGTAAAAGGTTTTACATAATTTGTATTTACAAAAAGAAGCATCTGCTCGAAAACTAAAAGATTTGCTTCTAAAAAAAGGAATCTAGGTTCACAACAATTGTACTTGCTCTTTTCAACTTTTCAGTAGTTGTCCAGGTATCACACAGATTGAAACGTAAAAATTTATGTATTTGTAGGTCAATTTTTGTGTTAAAATCTATCTAAAAGGACTTGTATAACTAATTTTTAGTTGTGTGGTTCCAGTGTTGTGCTTGTTATGGTTAATATGGTTTATTTACGTACAAGAAAATATTAGAAATCAAGACGTACACCACGAGAATTAGATTTTAAAACGTTATTTAGATTTGAGGAAGAGAATATCGTGTTCTGCGTTATTGTGCAAACCATTTTAAATTTGTTAACTTCCAGCACTGCACAAGTAAATCAGAAATATATTGATTGATTGCACAATGCAAGTTTAACTAGTTTGTCAAAATCGGTAGCGGCTAATCTGTACCTTTTACTTTATTTATATGAAGCATTTCCTTGCAAAGAAAAGGTACAGATTATGAATACAAATTATAGCAAAAGCTTTTACTTCTACCTTTTACTTGAAAGTAAATGCTTTATTTTTATAAATACGACCTATTACCTTGATTTGAGTAAATTTTGTTTATGAAGCTCGTTTCTAAAATTAATTTAAATCTTATCTTCACCTTTACGGAAAGGCCTTTTTGTGATCTAAGGAAAGTACAAGAAAAGATATAATGTTCACAACAAAGAGCAACAGTCAGTCAGTATAATTTAACGTCGTCCTTAATATAATTACATTTTGTTTTAAAAATTAGTGATAAGGAAACGCTGTGGCTTCATATAATATAACATTTTATTAAACCCAATATTTTGTTGTCTGGGGTTAGAAATAGGGCCCAAAAATTTTTATAACAGTAGAGGAAAGTCGCTTCGTTTTGGATACCCCTTTCATTCAATTTTTTGAGTGATAAGAACATTATTCATATCCTTTTACACTTAATATAGATCTGATAATATACCTGTCTTCCTAATGAAAGCGCAAAATCTACCTTGAAGGACAAAAAATTGCAAATACAAAAAAGTGCCATTTTTCAAATTTACGAAAAGGGTTCCTAAAATTGGATATCCTATTTAAAACACCGGAATCTATTTCGAAAAGCAAAAATTATAAAAAAAAATTTTCTTAGTTGTAATGCCGTGAAAAGACATTTTCTATGTAGAAAAACAAGCCCTAAAACTTTGTAGGTATTTAGTTCAGAAACCTAAAATTTGGACACAAAATACGGCACTATTCTTATCTAAACTTAGGCAACCTTTATTTTGTGGTCTCACGCGAATAAAATAAAAAAACCTTAAAGTAGAGTTCTATAAAGGTGACCATACTCGACCGCCATTTTGGCTCGGACCACTGGAACATGAGGCAAGGTGTTTACATTTACGTCAAGTTTACCATTTATTATGGGGATTTATAGCAAAACTTAGTTGCCTTTTTTTGCTTTTTTGTGGCATTCAGAAAGTTTTATTATTAATTTTTGGTGCCCCAACAACAGGATCCATACAATCTTGTGATATTTACTCCTGGAAAACGTTACTCTCAAGTCCTTTTTTTTTTGATAATAAGTTTAAAAATCTAAGAAAATTTTGCTCTTTTGTGCAGTAGTGTGTTACAAATTTTTAATCCGTAGAACTTCTTAAAAATATTGATAAAATTAGTGGCAATTAGAGTCTGCAAGTGGAGGTTATCTAATTCGTCATTTGCATTTGTTACCCAAAGGATGATCTACATTCTCCATATGCGGATTAAATGTCGAGAGCGCTCTAGGCTAGCACCTCATAGGCGCCCCTCTGGCGGTCATATATTTTGAAAAATATTTTTTTTTTTTTTTAGTTTTTAACCTTGCGCCCCTGGGTATATGCCTACTTTGCCTTATGGATAATCCGCCACTGCAGATTGTCATACATTTTGTAAACGTATTTACTATCCGTTAAAACACGTAACACGCTGTTGACAAACATACTTTTCAAAAACAGCAAAATTTTTCTATATTTTTTTAACTTTCCAAATATGTTAGGTACCTACCGCTGAAGCACTAATAATAATGCCGTAATAATAACTAAACACTGAATGCCGCAAAAAGCCAGACAAAAGATTAAGTTGCTATAAAACCCGATAGTAAACCATGAAGCAATGCTGTTTTCTACAGTATGTATCCGGAACCAAAATGGCGGTCCAGTAATATACTATAGTTGTGTAATATTCGGATCCTTCACAAAAAATGTATCCGTTATTCGTATCAGTCATCATTCCCGCTTTCCGTGTCACTGTAGGAGAGGGAAAATGAACACTTACAAATACAACAGCTGTCCAAAGTGTGAATTACAAAATATATTACATTTACAAAATCGCAACTTTGCGAAGATCATAAGATCATAACTTCTAAATCCAAATGTTGCTTCACTTCCTTGAGTATCGAAGGGAAGGGAAGAGAAGATGTTCAATTGTAAAGTAAATAATATCCGTATCCCTATCCGGAAAAACTGTTCGGATATAGATATTTGGGATATATCTCGTAACTAAAAGCATCCGTATCCTGTATCCGGAATCAGAGCCCTATTGTAGTATTGATATCCGATATCCGGATACAGTTTATTAGTATCCGAACCCAATTGTAGTATATAATCACCATTATAGAGCTATACTTATGGTATTTAGTAATTTTTACTTCAAAAGTTTGTGACACAACCATTTTACCTACTTTCGCCCTTTTTTAAGGGTTTACATAAACACATAAGGTTATGGCGTTACCAAGTATTGAACAATTGTGTTATGTACTACAGCTAGGCTTATTTACGTTAAAAACCTTTTGTTTTGTGGCTTCAATTATAAAAAATTCTTAATGGATTTTAATCCCTTGCACTGCTATTGTATGACTTATTGTGTCACCGCTTATCCTTAGTAGAAAATATTCTATTTCCTCAGTTTTTAATTTTTGTGTTTTTATACGAAATCGCATATAAGTATAACCAACGGAATATATCCGTACCTGTCCATACCTTTAGTGCTCTACCGTGGTGTTCGGATTGTATGATGTGCTACGCAACAAGTCCGTTTTCGTTCCAGTTGCGCATGACGTCAGGTTGAGAGCTATCATCTATACGGGTAGAATAAATCAAACCTATTGAATTTTGGCTTACTGAAACGTTGTCAAGCAAGCAATAGTAACCAGATTTCTTGTTAATAAAGGATTACTTATTTTATTATGTAGGAAGCTATAAAAAATACGCGATTTTTGAAATTAATCCATAACTTTGATTATTTCTACCACTTATGTTAACTGATTAGTTCAAAATGAAGAATTGGGGGTGTCACGCTATTTAGATAAACATAACACCATAATTAACCGAGGAAACACCCCCACAACCCCAAGTCGATAGGCGATGAGGAATGTTTTTTAGATAATTATCGTATTAACATAATTATAGACATTGTTATCGACCTAGGGTTGTAGGGGTGTTTCCTTGGTGGATTGTGGTATGTTGTTTATATATATTTAAGTAAAGTTTACAATCATGTTAATACATATGATAAGGGAGATATATAGTGAATTTTCATTTTTTAACTTTGTATATTATTTTAATAAGGGACGACCGACGGCTAAAATAATTTTTTTCGGAATTAATAGACCTCCCTATGACATCCCCCATAACTCCAACTCGATTGCGGGTGGGGAGAATTGCTTAATTTACGTTTGCAATTTTGCAATTTTCGAAACTAAGTTTTTTGTTCAACTATAGGTTTTAGTTCGCCCCTTAAACTCTTATCCTTTCCGCAGCCCTAAACTGTACATGCAGGCATTGTTACACATTTCTGATAAATCATATCATCACCATACACCTTTGTTATTAGCGAATTCACAAAAAAATCGCTAAAGAGTTAGTGTATCTTCGAGTGTTAGGTTTCATTTGCTCACAAGCTGACGTCAGTGTGACACACGGACGGGGATGTACATTTGCGCGTAAGCACACTATACAATCCTAACACCAAGGTGCCCTACCAACAAACCCGTTCCAGTCGACTGCTAAATATACACACATGTAAGATAAAAAACTATTATGATGTGAATGAAAAAACAAAAAAAAAAAAAAACAAGTTCTGAAATAATTTATTATTTAAATGCAATATGTTTGAAATGTATATGTATATAACAATATTTTCTATTATTATAAATAACGCTCTTTAAATAAATAATAAATACTTATGTAACAAATCGTCCCTCATTTACACCAGATTCACTATCGATCACTTAGCTCAATCAATTATAGTCAATAGAATGCTAAATAGAACTACGTTTGAATGACGTCACTGCAGTAGAAAGAAAATTAAAAAAAAAAATGCATGTTAATTTATTTTTTTAACGATTTAAATTAACCTTTGCTTGATCAATTTAAGAAGGATAAGTCCGCAATTAATTGTACGACTAAAATACGACAGGTTTGCAATTTGAGATAGCTACACATTGTATACTATATTAATCCCAAAATCCGAATTCAGAGGGATGTCAAAATAAATTAGTAGATCATGTCATGACCTGCTCAGATCAAAATTGGCAGATACCGAATTTCGGCAACTTCTTGATTATAACCGAAATCGGTTACTATAGCCGATACTTTTAGCTACAAGGCGTTGCAAGCATGGATATTCAATCCTAAAACGTTTTCTCCCTGTTCTGATTATACTCTTTTATTTGTCCCATCGAAGGTAAAACTCGTTTTTGTATTGATTATATATAATTAGAGACAGATACAGCAATCTAAACTAACCATAATCTAACCTTCAGGAGGTGCATAATATTAATAACAAAAAACAAATTGTACAATTCTTAAAGGTTAGGCTATAGTTGGTTTGGGTTATCCTCATGTAGCAAATGATATTTAAGTAGACCCACGAACCCATGTCGAAATTATCGTCGTATCTGTCATGTTACTCTGAACATGTCGCAATATGCTAATTTATTTCAACAAATTTAGCATTTGAGTCAACAGCTCTTTTCATACCCTCAACTTCGCTTCCTTGAGTGGTAAAACATCTTTACTACGCCTTCCTAAATTGACCCAAGTCCTATATGATAAATTATAGGCTATAATAGTGCCACACTGCTAACAATGGTTTTATATTAAACAGACCTTTAAAATCATTAATGCGTTCAATTATTTGCTCAACTGCGTCAATTGTTTTTGTATTTATTTGCCTAACACCTGATAAGAATAAAATTAGTAATGCAAGTAATAAAGTTGTTAAAAATTTCGACCACATTATTATTTAATGCAACAGAATTGACAAATTTTATACTGATAGTGTGCTAAATGTCAACAGATATTCACCTTATATTGGTTTTCTTGTATGATTAAATATCAATCCGAATTATCAACTTCTAACGCTGAATTTATCTGTTTTAATTTTTTACGAGAGTGGTTACTTAATAGCCATGGATAGTATGGGTTAGCGAAAAACAATTTGGAAAATATCAAAGATTAACCATTTGACAGAGACTAAAAAGAAGACAAAAGAAGGCTTAATCTAAATTCATTTTCAGGTAATTGTTTTTTGACAAGATTTCGGCTACATTTTCAGGATTATGCGTAGTTTAATATTTTTAGTTAATGGCAGGTGTATTTTTTATTGTCTATTGTAAAATCTAAAGGTTTTTTATGAAAAAACTGTTAATTATCTAATTGAAATGGAACAAATATTTAATTTTTAATACATATCATTTTACAATCAAAAAAATCACTTCTTTGGGATGCAAAAAACAGAAAATAGTTTTTCTTATTCGTGTTATCAAATATGTCACTTTAAAATTGTCAAAGTTACAAAACGGACAGCCGTTAGGTAATCAAAACTTTTTAGAACCGCTGAAAGTTATAAATCTGTCCTTTTTAACGAAAAAGTTTTATTTATCTAACGGATTTTATTTGATGGGTATGACCTCCGCGATAAGAGCTGTTCTGACTATATCGATTTTCATTACTAAAGTGGTAGTCCTTGGTATAAAAAATAAAATCCAAACATACATGCACCGTAATCCACTGTCGCTATTCAACAACTATTATTATTATCGGATACTAACATTATTTAAATAAGTACATAATTATATTATTTACTAACCTAATAGTATGTATTGTTCTACATTTGAATCACAGTCTCCTTTGAATTTCCTCCTAACATCATCATCATCATCGTCGTACTTCTTTATTATCTAGGCGTATCAATCTTATCAACAACATTATTGAGTTCGGTAGGACTAGAAGGGTTTTGGTCAGAGGTGGACTCAGGCGGATGCAAAGTGCCCACCGACTGTCTTCTCAGAGGCGTAACGACCGGTTGCGAATGCAGTATCGCATACAACGGTCCCTCTTTTTCTTTTGTGGGGGATAAACTTGGCTCATCTTCCATCTGCATGCTGTTCTCTGCAGCAGACGGAATTGTGGTTAGGAAACGGACTGTGAGACGCCCAGGAGATCCTGGGGAATCACAATCGTCCTGGATCGCACTTTGACGAGTCAGTCTTGGTTTTGATCTAAGAATAAGAAAAAATTCTTGCCATTTGGACTATTTTATGAAATTGAAAATTAAGTAAAAAACAATAACAAATAAAGTCAATTTTAAATCTGCAATAGTGCCAAAGAGGTATTTTCCGTCTCCAAAATAATTTGCAGGGGCGGATCTACTTAAGGACTTTTTGGGCTGCAACTCAGGGCGGCGTGGATACAAAAAGCCCAAGCCTTCGTTGAAAATAATAGACGATATTGTGAAAAAAAATATCTAAAATTATTAAAAAAAAAAACGGTAATAACCTTGGCAACCCTTCAATCAATTAACCCGTGCGCGCGACTATCGGGCGGAACAGGGAATTCCCTGTCATTTGTTTTCGGTCGGTGTATTTTCTCGTTTTCTTCTTTACGCGCGGTAGGGTAAGTTCGTTTCATGTGAGTTGCTATGTAACGAAATCATGCAACGGATGTCCGCCCTCTACTCGGCCACGTAGTCGAGTTCGTAGTGGGGATCGCTTGAGCCGTGAGCGCGCTTCAATGCAACGTTCGTTACAGGCAACTCCGGCATGAATAGTGTAAAGTTTAAATTCATAGTGTACAAATAATATCATTAAACCAATTCCTTAACCCCTATCCCGGTATGTTTGTGTGTTTGAAGAAGTTTCACTTCAGTAGCGTGTTGTATAATTACACGTTGTATTTTTTTCCTATACCGTATACCTACATCATTGTAAACAACAGTTTTTTTGACAAAATGACAATTAGTTGAGTAATTAAGTAGGCTCCTAAGTAGTATTAGTCCAGGGCCCCACAAATTCACGATCCGCCCCTGATAATTTGTCTGTTTATAAGACATTTCCGATTATAATGACAATCCCTATAATGAAATTTAGCATTTTTTCAATATGATTAATTTTATTATTATTAAATCGGTTGCTTCTCTACTACATTTTTCCTTAAAGACATTTAATATAAAATTGAGGAAAACTGCAAAATATCATGTTTGATAAATAATACGCAAAGGGACATTGAGTCAAAACCAATCACGAAACCAATAAATCTATATTTAAATTTTTATTAAAACGATTAAATTGATAGAAGAAGTTCATCATTATAAATTGAGATTTACCTTAATCGGTTGGGTTCATTACTCGAAGCACTTGAGCGTGATATTCGCCATGTGCTGGTACTGGCCGTGGTGCCAGACCCCGAAGAGTCGTTTCTCGAACTAGAGAGATTGGAGTCCTGAGAGGTTTTTCGAGTTACAAGCCACGTAGACGCTCTTCGTTTGGGATCCAGCAACCTGCAAAGAATGAAACGAAAACCAACAATGACACTTTCAGTATATTACTAATATACTGCAAAATAACAAAAGGTTATAAAATCCTACATTAATTATATACATTAAACGATAATTTATTTTTATGCACAGGATTTATTAATTTTTCACAACTTAAAGGGCAGTGCCGGCCTTTTGAAACATATTTGAGATTAACGATATCTTCAGAAAAGTTTTTCAGCACTTTTGGTTTGAGAAGAAGTTCATGTAAGTTGTACTTTTGTTTTCCTAAACAGTCATAAAAATAGAGGCGATTACTTTCAGTGGCATGTCTCGACCCACAACATAATAAAGGCGATGACCTTCACTGACATGCATCGACCCACAACATAATATAGGCGATGACCTTCAGTGGCATGCCTTGAACCCAAATATACACAAACAAACTATTGCTATACTGTCGTGAACCGTGATAAATGACTAAGTTCAGACAACAAGCACTTTATCGTATAGTACTGAAGATAATCCATGGACTTACAACTTATAATCATAGTTATAATCCCGCCTCTCACGACTTCTTTCCTCCATGGTACTTTGTACCAACACATTACTTTTTGGTATTTTATTTTAATACTTGTTTCGAGTCCTACACTCTTTGAGCATTAATAAAAAGGGGCTTGACTAGAGTTGTAATAGATTTTAACATTATTGGAAATTGAAAGTTAAGGTATAATGATCTGACAGGATTTTGTTGGGTACCCCCAATCTATGCAACAAATTATGGATCACAAAAAGCGATAGTCAGAAATTTAGAAATTCTTTAAAGGGACGCCACACGTCGTAATAAGTTTTAAAATCCAAGACGTTGGAGAGAAAGCCGACACTGCTCGTTAGTTCAAATAAGCTAACACATCGAAAGTAGGTAGTCAGTTTACCTTACTTCTACAAACCTTAGAGGAATTCCACAGTGATGATTGTGCTTCCATGAATCGGATCGCGAAGAGCTGAAGTTCTCACTGGATGACACTGACGATGCACGTTTGTGTTGTTTCTGTTGAATCTCTGCAATCTGGTAGGTATATTGTTCCGATCGTGGTCGATGTCTGGGAGGTTTCTTTGCACATAAAATCCACCTGGCCTTGCTAACCAACCAATCTTTCGAAGCACTCTTCTTACGACTAGTTCGTGAACTGCCATTTTTGACTTCATTATTCAAAAGCTTCACGTTGCATGTACACTGTGGATTATGATGATTTTGATTTTCTCGCGATGACCTGTCTGCCAAGCTGTTTGTGTTCGCAGGGGTTTGTCGGTTACTAAAATTTGAACTATGTCTGCATCTACCAATGCCTCTGGTCACTCTACTTTCTTCGATTGCTTTGCAAATCATTACGCAGTCTTTTTTGAATTGTTTCGTGAGTATCGCATAAAGAAACGGATTGCAACATGAATTTAATGGCAGTACAAACACCGTAAATACTTTGGCTTGTTCTAAAGTTACTAGTTGTAAACCAAACGCAGCGGTCAAAGAGAAAAAAGCTATTGGCGACCAGCAGAGGAAATCGGTGAACACCAAGAGAGCCATTCTCTTAGCAATGCGAGAGTCGTTGGAGTTCCAAGCTTGAGAACCTAAATTTCATATGTCTAAGTATTTTGCGGAAATAAATAGAGCTTCAAAAATAAAAATCTACGAAAAATATAAGTAAAAATGTATATGATTCCTTCATCATCATCATAAGGTCAACAATCCTAAGACTGGTTGGACACTCGCCTCCACTCTTTCCTATCCTGAGCTAATGTTTGTATTTCCCTTAAACTAGAACATCCCACATTTTTAAGTATTTGTGAACAGTAATCTAATCTAGATCTATCTCTACTTCTCTTAACTCCTGTTTCAGCTTCCAATAGGTCCTTAACTAGTCCTTCATGTCTGAGAAGGTGTTCTATCAACCTATCTCGCCTATTTTTATAGGGCGCTCTATTCTCCAACCTTTTATAATACCTTCTCATCTTCTCTAACCACGGTATCTAATCTAGATCTATCTCTACTTCTCTTAACTCCTGTTTCGGCTTCCAATAGGTCCTTAACTAGCCCTTCATGTCTGAGAAGGTATTCTATTAACCTATCTTGCCTATTTTCATTGTGCGTTCTATTGTCCAACTTTTCCTAATACCTTCTCATATTCTCTATCCACGGTATCCTCATCATTCGCTTGTAACATCACATTTCGAACGCTTCTAACCTTTTCCTTTCCGCCGCACCCACCATCCACGTTTCGCACCCCTACAGCGTCGTACTTCAGACATATATCTTTAACAATCTTTTCCAAATTTCTAAATTAACTGTTCGCAAGCGTGGAAATGATGCGTTTTCGTCTATTTTATATCTCTACTGCTCCTTCCATCCTGAATTATCTATGTATTCACTCTTTCCAAACTTTTACACATTTTATTTTATTTTCAAAAAATATTTTTTGACAATGTCGCTTCTATTTTATTTAAGTCTATCTTTAACTCTTCCTTGCTAGATGCTAATACTGCCATACCATCAGCAAATCTAATCATACTAATTTTTTGGCCCTGTATATCTATCCGTAATGTTGTTCTGCCTAATAAAGTTTATCGTCCTTTCGAAATATGGATCGAACAGTTACGATGACAGGGTGCATCTTTATCTGACTCCCTTCCTAATATTTAAAATTCTTCTCTATGTTACTAATCAAGTTCTCTAACGGTTTTTTTAAATTTTGAATATTCTCAATTGTAAGAGATTACAAAATATTGTTGGAATCTTAATTGCGAAGAACTCAAAAAATCAAATGGTATCAATTTTTCTTTGTTACATCACATAAACTGTTTTGTTTCTACATCTACCCTACTGCTGTTTTCTTAAATACGAGGGTGGATTGATAAGTTTCCGGCCTAACCAAGAGATGACGCCACTAGGCCTACCTTGAGGTGACATTCTATAGTACCATCCTTGGATAGCTTGTAGCTATAGTTTCAGCCCGATCTCCTTGCTAGTGTAGGTTTGACAGCACGCTGAACAAGACGCCTCTGTGGTTTTCGTAAAAATGGAAAAGCAGGAAAATCGTGCTGTCATCAAATACTTTTATTTGAAGGGGTTAACGCCGAAGGAAATTAAAAAAGAGATGGACTCAACACTGGGGACATCCTCCCCGTCATATTCAACCGTTAAGCAGTGGGTTTCCGAGTTTAAAAAGGGTCGTGTGAGCACCTCTGATGGGCCTCGCTCAGGACGCCCCGTTGAGGTCACAACTCCAGATATGATCGAAAAAATTCATCAAATAGTGCTGGGAGACCGCAGATTGAAAGTGCGTGAGATAGCTGAGACCTGTAAGATGTCATATGAACGTGTGCAACATATTTTGCACCAACATTTGCATATGGAAAAGCTCTGTGCAAGATGGGTGCCGCGTTTGCTAACAGTCGACCAAAAATTGATTCGAAAAAACATTTCTACCGCAAATTTGTCATTGTATAAGCGTAATCCAAGCGAATTTTTGCGTCGATTCGTAACCGTTGACGAAACGTGGGTCCACCACTACACTCCTGAAACCAAAGAACAGTCTAAACAGTGGATTGGACCAGGGGAACCAACTCCAAAGAAGGCAAAAACAATTTTTTCGGCGAACAAGGTTATGGCTACTGTTTTTTGGGATGCAAGAGGTATTATATACATTGATTACCTTGCAAAGGGTAATACTATCACTGGTCAATACTACGCAGACTTATTGCAACGTTTGAGCCACGAGGTGAAAATTAAACGACCTCATCTGGCGAAGAAAAAAATCTTGTTTCATCACGATAACGCACCAGCGCACACGTCAATCGTTGCGACGGCTAAAATCAACGATCTAAAGTTTGAATTGATGCCGCACCCTCCTTACTCTCCAGACCTAGCCCCGAGTGACTATTTTCTGTTCCCTAATCTCAAAAAATGGCTTGGCGGTAAGAGATTTGCGGACAATGAAGAAGTAATCGAAGCTGTAAATGGTTATTTTGAGGAGCTTGACGAATCAGTCTATAGAGATGGCATTAATAGACTGGAACACCGCTATGAGAAATGTATCAGCCTTGGAGGAGATTATGTTGAGAAATAAAAAAAAAAAATTTTTAAAAACCTTGTTTTTCTTGGTCAGGCCGGAAACTTATCAATCCACCCTCGTAAATAGAATAGGATGATCCCAATTTTGATACAAAGTACCGACACAAAGAAAACTTGTATATAAAAACAAAATATAAACTTTAATTCGAAAGATATTAATTTACTTACCTCGAATAGCACAGTACATTTTTAAGTAGCACCCCATCAATATAAGAAACGCAACGCCGTTGATAAACATGAGAAAAACGACGTAAGTCAAACTGGCAACGGATCCTGTTTCAAACGGGAGACAAACTGCAAACTTTCTATAGTCGGAAATACTGAAGAGTGGAAGAATAGCCATAACAATTGCAAACGCCCATCCGCAAACCATTATGTACCCTGCGTGTTTCAAAGACAATCTTTTATTGAGATGCATGGCATGCGTGATGGCATAATTTCGTTCCAGGGTAATTACTGCTAGAGTGTATACTGATAACTCGGAACTTAGCACCCCCAAAAATCCAGCTAGTCGGCATCCAACAGACATCTGCCAAGGGATGGCATACATTCTAAACTCGCCCAGAGTTGATGCGTCTACAACGGCCAAAAACCCTAAGGAGAAATAGTTGGAATCCAAAATGATTTTTTTCATGAATAACATCAACCGTACCTAAATATATTCCCATGAAAAAATCTGCAGCAGCCAAATTGCAGACTAGAAACCGTGGAACGTCCATTTTACTCCTGGAAAAAATTAACACGAAAACTACCGTTCCATTTCCTAGCATGGAACACAGGAAGACCAGCCACACTCCACACCGGAGAGTCCACCAATCGAATAAGTCTTGACAAGGAAGGAATGGACCTGGTGATGGCAAACATTGAATTTTTCCAGGAGGTAGTTCACTTCCAGAGAGTTTCGTCTCTTCTTCCGCGTATTCTTCCATATAGTTAGGAAAATTTCCTGGATATGCAAATTCCCCGCCACCGTAGCTATCCCAAATGTCTTTAAATTTTTTGCCCAGTTTGTGACTTATATTTTCTGGAAATTGAGTAAGTCGAAGTTGTGTACCAGGAGTGAAATTATATATGAGGCTGTTAGGTAATTTGCTGTATGTAGGCCAGATTGTGTTTGACTAGTTAGCGCTGCGATTTTTGTTTTTGAAATTTAAATTTAATATTAGCTCCGATCGATTGATTTAGGCTTTTTGTAAACTACTTCTAAACGTTTGATATAATTATTGGTATCTAATATACCCTCCGTGGTGTGTAAAAACCACATTCTAGTGTATTAAAATTAGCAAATTAAACAAGCAGAATATTCTCTTCACGTTTATAATCGATCAACTTTTCACTCAGAAGGAAAATGACGCAAGAAAAATTATATTAATGTTGGTGAAAGAATATGGAAAATATTAACACAGAATAACGATACAGGAGACTTAAGGTATTTTTTTAAAGACGTTAGCATATATTCAAAAACTTGATTAGGTACTAAGAAAAGAAAGAAAAATCGGGGACAAAACTTAAAAAAAATATATAAAAACTTATAAAATTAAAAAATATCTTTTAAGCACACCAAAATAGTTTATGTTATGAGTAAACTTTGCCACTCTTAAGTCTGAATTAAAGTGTGAAGGGAAGATAGTTTAAACTGAAAGGTGTTTTATTTATATAAGACCAACAACCTACGTTTATTCAGGGTTAGGTTTCTAAGTTATAAATTCCGTATGTCCAAGGTTGCAGAATTTGTAACTTAGAAACCTATCCCTGAAGATGCCTCATAATTGAGGCGAAACGTAGGTTGTTAGTCTCATATGAATAAAAAACCCTTGCCCCATACGTAGCTTAATTTTTTACTTTATACAATTGTTGGAGAAGAAATGACACCAAAGAAGATAGTTTAAACTCGATAACGTCTAAACGTTATACAGTGAATTTAAAATTAATTACAAGAGAGCGCAAACTAGTTAATTTCAGGTAACTTTTTACCTAAGGAGACTGACTGGTTGATTATATTGTGCATTATCACAACCAGAACTCGACATTTCGCATTTTAATGCATGGAATTTCGGAGATAGTAAAGTATCTTTAAAGTTCCAGTCCAACATCTAGTTTGAAAACACCTTTTATTTAAAAACGAAACGTCCACTGTTAGTTGTGATAAATACATTTATTTTTCCCCCCATCTTGCTTTCTATAAAATTTATTTTTATATAGGTACCTACGGTTTTTTAGTAACCTTTTTAATAAACGTATTTTAACGGTAAATAATACAAAAAACCAAAGAAAAAATTAATAAGAGAACTTGCTAAATATGTTTTTCAATAAACTGTTGTTAAAATGTCACCTTAAATATTACAAATTTCGATGCTATTATATAACTTTTCTAAACTATATAGGCACGCATCGACATGAATTGAATACAGCTAGAAAAGTTCAAATGAAAGTACTAATAACTCTTTAATGAATCAATGTAAGAACGGAGTTTTATTTCTTCTTTGCTGTCGCTTAAGCAAAGTTTAAATGCAATTAAAAAAATATATTGCAGGGATTGTTAAGGAAGAAATCGTGTGAAATAAAATTCTGAAATGACTCACGTAATTGAGGCCACAAGTCTACGACACTCGAATTCCAAATGTTGGGATCTATGTCGTCGTCCTCGTCGGGAAAAAGCACTATATCTTCGACTCTGGCAGGTGGGGGCGGGTTGGAGGGTATTAAGGGAAGGAAAGCACAGCAGTGATACGCGTAGGCCAAAACCAAAGTCTGAATTCGCGGAAAGCTTTCGGGTGGAGGGAACTCCTTCAAGTTCGGATTATTAAATACCTTGAGATGAAGGAGACGTTCTAAACCAGCCGCTGGTAATTCGGGAAAAATGTTGTTACCCAGGTTTCTAAAAACTTCATTAAATTTGTGCCCAGTACAAATAATTACACGAAACTTAATTGGATTAACGACATCAAAGACCTCAATTAACTTTTGATAAAGAAACATCCTATCATGCAATTTGCTTTGAAAAGGTTGCTGTAATTTACGAACGAGGAAGTTGAAATACGATCTCACAACCAATAAAATTAACTTAACTACTTGCGAAAATTTCAGAACGTTCTATAAGTTTTAAAGATTTTATGATGAGATTTTTTTATAAATTTTGATTTACTGTTAAATTATAACATTCAGTTAAATAATTGTGACTATGGCAACATCTAAAACTAAAACGTATCAAAGATAGTTTTGCATGTTTTCTGCATTTTTACTATTATAAGCCGTTTTATTTAAAAAATTTAATACCAATGTAAAATATCCACTGAATACACTGCTTTCATTCGTCACTATTCACAAGAACAAATCTAAGGAATTTCAGAAAAATGACAAAACGTTGGAACGTAAGGTAATTGACATATGGTCTCAAAATGACCCAAGGGTCACGAAAATGTATACACTTATCTAGCAAAAATTAACATGCAAAAAAAGCTTATTATTTTGGCCCCCATCAAATTTTCATGGAGTAATTTATTATTAACTTTTTGGAAGCTTTTATAAAAAATATACATATATTTCTTAGACGTTTCGGTCTTTATCTCTACCTAGTCAAGATTTTATTAGAGTATGTATGATGTACTTGTAGAGTTGGTCAGAAAATGAAACCAAATTACTCCCTGAAAATCATAGCGGACAAAAAAATGATCTTATTAACCCTCCTCTTTGTACTAAACATTTGATGGTTAAACTCCTTTAAGTGATTTATATATTTCATTTAAGAAATAATACCGTTTCAAGGCACATTGCATTAAATTTAACAAAATTATAATTAGTTAAGGTAAATTACGTACAGGTTTTCTATGTGAGAGATAGGTAGAAAGGCATCCGGATGAATATATGAAATCATGTTGTTTTCCAAGTCACTATAAGGAAAATGAAGGGGATAAACCAAAATTAGCAATAGCACTAACAGTAATAATAATATCAAGTTTTCATTAATAAATGTGTAAAGTAGAGAAAAACAACTTATAACTAAATTTATTTGAATATGAAAAGATAAAAAACTACATTTTTATAATAAAATAACCTTCTGATGCTTGTATAAAATCAATCATTAATTCTTGATTTTTTTAGTGAGTAAAATTGTGGCATGCAACGGAAGTTGAGCGCGCACAGCTAACGAAAATTCGATAGTATAAATTCACCAGTGAAGTTGCGAGCTTCGGCAGTTGCTGCCTTTCGTTTATAGGGGCGAGTTGCCACTTTGACCAATAGGGACAGCACCACACGGTTATATTATTCAAATGTTATCGTTGCATATCTCATTATTATTTATTTAATTTAGATTATTTACAAATATAATGTTATCTTTTAGAATTAAATTATTTAAGAAAAAAATTAAACTGGATTTAATGCATCAATTCTTCGGTAAAGAGAAATTAAAAACCCTTGTTCAATAGCTGACTTGGCTAAGGAAAGCAATTTCGAAGAGAATGAAATAGGATTAAAAGTATGTACATGCATGGGCGTACCGAAAGGGGGGCAAAGTACAACAAAAGCAAATGGCCATGATCGAACCCTAGTAACAGTTAACTTTATGACTTTAAGGCAGAGATGAAGGTCGTTATAATTCAAGCCCTCAAGCAGAATAACACAAAAATGTATACCGGATGTTCGTTATAGAATCCGAAGAAAAAACTTGAATACGCGTCTAAGTTTTACACTTACACAATTTTTATCATTCTTCTTCTACTTGTTTAATACCTACTTTTTATCATGTAGCAAGGCATGACCGTCCTGGCTGAGGAATTCAAAGGAATTAGGGGAATAAAATATTTTTTTTCGATTTTTGAACTAGGTTATATTTTTGCTTTTAAATTTAAATACTGTTGCAAGTGATAGCTTGACTCATTGTTATTGCTTATTTCCACATTTCCGCCAAAATCGTTTATAAATTCTTCAGCTATATAATACTCCATTGACAATTGCAAAACTAATAATTATTTATGTAAAATTTTTTCTCTTAAATAAATAATATTAATA